AAATTACTTTAAATAAATTAGTTTAAAAAACTAACATTTAAATAAATAATTAAAAATAATTTTATTTTTACTTATTATTCTTATATAAAAATAAAACTCAAAAAAAAATGCATTTATAAATTTTTGGAAAGACATTATTTTATTTTTAGATAATCATATACATATATATATATATTTTTATTCAAAAAATAAATTATACTATAAATAAATATATCCAACCACATATGCTTATAGGAGTTTATGTAATAATACATTTGTATTAGTTAATATGTATGTAAATACATATTCAATGATAATATATGATAATAATGTCATTTCATTTAGGCCTTTACCCCTTCTACATACTAAACACATCAATGAAAAAAAAAATATATTCATTCTCCATAATCATTTCATTCTTCAACTCATTTCATTCCATTATATCAATTATGCTATTAGTTATTCGGGATTTCTATAGCTGTGCTACAGTACAACCCAATAGATTCACAAAATGTTAGCACAAGCAATTGATCCCCCACCTTTTATTGTTGTTTCATAGAATTTTTGTAATGATACAATACATAAACTATAACCCCACGATCATGGTGATCAAACCTTGCTGTTGACAAAATCTGCATTGGTTGCTTCCCAAATAGTGGTGCCATCACAAGTGCAAAGCTTTTTGTAGTTCTCACCAACTCCCGCACTTCTCGCAACAACTGCAGCAGCAATGCCTCCATCCGACTTATCTTCATTCCCATAAACCACTATGGACCGTCCAATCAGATCCGCAACTCTCAGCTTTTCTTTCGCTCCAGAAAAGAAGGCCTCACCATTTTCATTGGCGGATAATGTTCCCAGGTCACCGAGGGGCTGTAAAGTAAGAACATTGATTTGGTTGAATGCATCAAGGGATTTGATGGCCATACGATCAATCATTTCTCACTTTCATTTGCACTAAAAGAATGCATTAATACACTTCAGAATGATAGTATGACAAGACCAGAAGAAATAAGTAAATTAGGAGAATAATACAATACAATTGGATGAAAGGATTGATGAATTATATTATTGTCATTCCTATTTTGTATGTATAGATTCAAAAATTAATTACAAAGAACTAGATTCTTGACCAATGGCAAGCTTTCATCCTTCTGACCGGATAGATTCATAAAACTCGAATAGAAGTTGGGATGTCAAGATCCGAATTCGTAAAATTAATGTTTAGTATAAATGAGGACAAGACACCAACCTGTTTTCCATCTTTTTTTGGATTGAACACTTTTCCTGTGCTTGCGGCACCTTCGGTCAAATCACCAAATTCATTGATGGACCAGCCGTGCTCTCCAGGTGGCAAACCACTGAAGTTGGCTTCTATACGAGCCAGTTCCATGTTCACTTGGGCTAAACGAACAACTCCAAATACCGATGGACCTTTAAATTCAGCAACGGCAGCTGAAACTAGAAAATCTGCACCATAAACACAAGGAGTACGACTCCAATTAACTTATTAACACTCTCCATCGATTTTTACAGAATTGAATCCGCAAACAGCTGAATATCAATATAAAGTACAGTTGAACACTTTTTTTTTCTTATTATATATGAATTCTTAAACATAAAAAGCTCAATGTCAGGGACAATTCAATAGAGCCAACAAGATGACTATCTGGGAGCGAAAAAAAATAAAAATAAACTACATTTATTATGTAGTTTAGAGGCATGGCCCCCCTTTCAAGGTGACCAATTCGAATAAAAGATGCTAGTTTACCTTCTGGTACTCCTTGCCCAATTAATCTGGCTTTTCGACCTGTCTGCTCCAAGGATTCGGTCAAGATTTTCACAGGTGAGGTCCCAAGAACACGTACAACTTGATTTGCCAAGTCCACATCCACATTTTTAACCCCTAGAAGTTGAACAATAATTTGTAATTTTAGTACAAAACGAAATACTTAAGAGAACCACTGAGCAGCGATACTTTCTGTGACTCACCTTCAACAGTCTGCAACTTAGTCTTGACCGAATTTACGCAGCCCTCACATGACATATCCACCATAAACTCAGTCTGTTCATGCATACCATTTAGTAAAACAACATCTTGTTACATGGTCAAATGATCTCATCTCAATGTTTTGACATATCTTCCCCAATACGCAAGATTAAACTGAGTTAAATTTCCCTCACCTCACCCCTCATCCACAAAAAGAAAACAAAGAGTGAAGAAAGAAAAAATAAATAAAAAGAGACGGTAAAGGGAAACAGCCATACAGCTAAAGTAAATGAACATGAGAATACTAAAAAGATTAAGTCCAACATGGTTAACATTCAGTTGTAGACACAGTGCACGTTATGTGTATCGACATAAAATAGAAATACACGTTGTTGCTGTAATAGCAATACTAAAAACAAACTTTGATGATCTATATTGCATGAGGACGAGCGCAATGAGAATCACATATGCAAGTGTTTATCAGTAAATATAGCACATAAATACAGAACTGCACATTTATTTATGGATGCAATGATACATGTACTTTCGAAATCGCTTCACCAACATATTTTAAATGATATACTATTTTTTCTGTTGAATCTGGAACAATATTAAATTTGGCAAAATCATAGAGGTTTCATTACATGGCGCACATGGCTTTAGCCGCATTAGTGATCCATTTCCTGACCACTTCTCAATGTCTTAACCGAGTAACGAAACCCCTCTTCACATGTTCAAAAGTGATTTCTTTTTCTTTCCTCACATTAAGCTGTCTACTGTCTACTTTCTTCATTCATTCAACTTACGTGAGCTTTCAAGCCACGGCTAACATTTGAAGACAAAAACAAAAGAAGTATTTAAAAGTGAACCGCAATAAGATGAGACTTAGAAGAGGGAAAGAAATCAGAGTATTTTTCCTTTAAATTTATATTTCCACTTCTACATTCGTTTTTTTGACTTCAGATGCTCCTTCCAAATCCTTGTATAGTTCTCAGTAGACACCACATTTATTCGACTTATAGAGTTAATTCAAATACAAGCAGATATTTCTTCTGCAACAACCATTGTCATAAACAGTCCCTGAGAACAAAACCTGTATCCAACTTGAAAACAATTCAACAACTTGGAAAGGCAATAAATTTACGCATTCAGTTCTATCAATCCACAAAACTTAACCATTTTCTGAAATATTCGAGAGCTAAACTGTCGAGTATCTATTCGAAATTCATTACAACCTACAAAAACATTGCATAAATGGGGGAGACCTTTTCCTCACACTGTTAATCACCGAAACAACACAAAATAAATCTACAAAGCTGGCAGCGGACGGTATTGGCAACCAAAAAAAGAAAGCACAACTCACCAGTAGCTCCGGTAAAACGACACCGTCCTGCAGGGTCATATTCAAAGCGAATTATATACGAGTCCACGAAAGAAAAACAAGAAAACCCATAATAGACCACAAAAAAGGACGCCCAATTGAGAAAATAAAGATAAATTACGACCTGCGCCGCTGTTTTCGGATCCATTTCAACAACAGCAGAAGATGGGTTCTCAAAACCCTTCACAAGACACGATTTTGCGAGTCCTCTAATAGAATTATTTGAGGAAAAAGCGAGAGACTTTGAAGAAGAAGAAGAGTTTCTGGGCAGGCTTGGGAAAGACACAGAAGAGTGAGAAGGAAAGGAGAGAGAGACGACAGCCGGAATCGCGACTGTGGGTGCTGCAATGGCTGCTGTTTTTGTCGTCACCACTGACCTCAAAAATGCCATTTCTAGTCTTTTTGCCTATATGTGGCGTGACTTGAATTCTTTAGCCTCGGCCTCGTCCTCGTCCGTTCTAGAATCATTGGATGCGAGTGTGGTAAATATTTTTAATCTATTACTATATATGTTTATAATAATGCTCACTACACACGATGAATACATGTTAATATGTCCACCGCTTATGTGGCATGTACATATTGATGATGTTAATATGTTAAAAAAATACATCACCAATGTGGGCATACCATATAAGCGGTAGACATATTAAAATGTGTCCAATGTGAGTAGAAGAGCATTACTCATACAATTTAAGAAAAAAGTTTTGAAAAAATACATGAAATTAATTTAATTTTGTCGCTCAAATGTTTAATTTCCTCCTCAAATTTTATTTGAAATATTTGGCTAATGTTTTATATGGTAATAAATTTTATAAGTTAGTTATAGATAACAGAATTTAACAGATTCTAACTTCCCTTAAAATATAAAAACCCTTTTGTTTAATTAAAAATAAATAAATAAATAAATAAAGAAAAACTAAGAGTAGAAACGTTTTGAAGATCTTGTGGTAACATATACTCGCCAACATCCATCACTCGGCGTCTGATTTTTTTTACCACAAAAATAGAAATGAGATGATCTTGATTTTTTTCAATTTAATTAACCACTAATATATATCTTATATAAATAAAATCTAATAAAAAAAACCAAAAAAAAAAAAATTGTAACAATTTTCGAATAAAAACTTTCTAAGCGTTTGATTTAAATAAAATATTATACTTTGAAAAGTTTTGTTTATTTTGGACATAAACTTTAAAAAAAAAAAAGATAATAAAACAAAAATTGTATTGTAACATTTTTCGAAATAAATACTTTCTAAGCGGCTGATTTTAAAAATAATATATTGTTTTACTAAAATTTTTGTTTTGATTTAAAATTTTAATACGTTTATAATTAATGGTAATTAAAGAATCTAGTATGAAACATTTCCTTATTTAAATTGATTGTCAATATCTAAATTGATTTATTCCAATGAGTTCCCAACCAATCTCAATCACCAAAATTACACCACTAATATTTATGTTACTTTAATTAAAAAAAAAAAAATTAAATCTAACTATAACTGTGTGAAATTAATTATAATTTGCCTCCAATAGGTTCCCAATCAATGTCAATCACCGAAAATAATTATTATATTACGTAAATAAAATTGAATATAAAAAACATGTGTAATGATCGTGTATAAAGAAATAAATAAGTCGTATGACATAGATTGATGGCAGAAACAATTCCAAAATATGTGGATACTTACAATCCTTTTGATTCCACGTAACCAAATTTTAAATAGGATATTAGAAAAATAGAATTTAATTAAAAAAAAAACAAAATATTGTTTTGTAACATTTTTCAAAATAAATACTTTCTGAGCGGCTGATTTAAAAAATAAAATTTTATTTTTCAAAACTTTTTTTTTATTTAAATTTGTAGTACGCTTATAGATAATGGTAATTAATAAATATATTTGAAATTCAAAATTATATTTTTAAATATATTAATAAATGTTTATTATTTATTTTTTCCTTATGTGATATAATCTAAATTTTGTTATTAGATTTGTAAATTCAAATATTTAAAGAAAAATTCACAAGATTTTTTAGGTATATTTCATTTTATCTTAACTGTCATATAATTACATTTATAACAAACTAATTAATATAATTATATTTATCTAACTGAATTCTTTAAAATATAATTATTACAATATTTTAACTAACTAATATTTTGCCTAACCGAATTATCCCATTTTCCCAATTTTTTTAAAATTAAAATGGTAAGATAATTCTTACGGGTATATTTACCATAATATTAAACACTTTAAAAAACTTTTTGAAAACCAATTTAAATTATCCCGCCTTTTACTCTATTTGAAATTAATAAACTATATTGTTAAATATAGTTTACCTTTTGTACATTCTACGTTATGGAATCATTTCATGTGTTTTAACGGTAGATTATCTACTTTACATTAATTTACATGTATATATTTGAAAGCTAATAATAACCATTGAATGATTTGGCGATGAGATTGTAGGCAATTCCTTTTACTTTTTTTTTTTATCTCAATTAATGCAAAAGAAAAAAAAATTCTACCAATTATTTAGATTAATTATGATAAAATTGTTATATTTTATATTAATAAAGTATCATCATATTTTATTAATTATTCTGCTATCCTCCCTATATATTATTCCCGAAGGCGCTGAGCCTATGTGTCTGTTTCTGGTGTTTCGGAATCTTACTTGGCAAAGATTCATGCTTGGTAATTAGGTTTGAACAAATAATATTGATATATTAATAATTAATAATGTAGGTTCGGACATTCCACAAATATTATCTAGTAACTTAGGTATTTTAATATAACATTTACTAATATAACCCTTTAATTCTTTGTAATTTTACATAGTGAGACACTAAGTGATTGGTTTCCTTCAATTAACTATTGAATTGTAAATGTATTTTACAAGTTGATAACTTTTGTATTTCTTATCGGTTTTGCATATATAATATATCAAGTTAATTATCTTTTGATGATCTTCTATTTGACATTCATATTGTATATATGAAATAATAAATAAATCATATTTATCTTTATAATAATAAAAAATAATAGTATTTATTAAAATTCATTAAAAAATTATCTCTCAATATAGTTACTAGTACAACACCCGTGTATTACACGGGTGCTTGCTAATTTTTTTTTTTTCTTAAAATCTAAAATTAATGAGAAAAAAGTAGTTTGAAAATTTAAATACCTTTTATAAGAATATATATATTAGTATATATTTATATGACTTTTTATTTGTGCAACTTACTTGTGTAATATTATTCCAATTTTTTTTTACTTATAATATATAACTACATTAATGATATAGGATATTATACCCACAAGGCTGAACCGGTCTATTGACCGGTCGAAGAGGTCGTATTATGAGGAAATCAAAGAAATCGAGCAGTTAAACTAGTCGACCAAGCAAAGCCGTCGACCAGACTATCCTTCGACCAGATACACGATCGAGCAACCTATTCGACCTCAACAGGTCGATTACTTCAGGGACTCAACACCACGCTGTTCGACCTAGTCATAGGCGCGTGAAGGAGCCTCTGACAGAATTCCAGAAGAATATTTACCCCATGTGCAGGGGGACATGTGTCGAGAAGACAATGGTGGATAGCGATAACCACCTCTGACAGCCTACCCCATGTGCAGGAGGACACGCGTCCAAAGAGGATTGGTGCAGGCGATAGTGGCGACGACTACCTCTGACACACGCGTTTGGTGTGTATGGACGGACAGTTAGGGCAGACAGCTCATCAAATCCGGGCAGCCCTAGGTCAGGTGTCTCACCCCTATATAAAGGGGGTGAGCCTTTCTTCTTCAACACGATCATTCTATTACTTACTCTTGAGAATTGATTGAGCATACACTGACTTAAGCTTTGGAGGCTCTTTACCGGAAAACCCCTCCGGTGTGAGAGTTCTTTGTAGGTGCACGACGTTCGAACCGGCGAGAAGGAAGGCGATTATTCGGTTTCCAGCCGGTCGGGAAGTTTTGTGTTACCACATATGAATATATCAATTAAAAAATAATTTTATTTTTCTAATGAATTTCAATAATTATTATTATTTTTTATTATTATAAAGATAAATATAATTTATTTATTTCATATATATACAATATGGATGTCAAATCGAAGATCATCAAAAGATGATTAATTTGATATATTATATATGTAAAACCGATAAGAAATACAAAAGTTATCAATTTTTAAAATACATTTATAATTCAATAGCTTATTGAAAAAAACAAATCAAAATTCAGAGATATATTAGTCACTTAGTGCATCACTATGTAAAATTACAAAGAATTAAAGAGTTATATTAGTAAAAGTGATATTAAAATACCTAAATTAGCTAAATAATATTTATGGAATACACGAACCTAGATTATTAATTATTATTATATCAATATTATTTATCCAAACCTAATTACGAAGCATGATTCTTCGCCAAATAGGATTCCGAAGCACCAGAAGCAGCTACGTAGGCTCACCGCATTCTGTAATTATATATAGAGAGGATATGTTGTAAGTCAAAAAAATATTATAATATAACACATATAAGTCACACAAATAAAAAGGTGTCATACTAAATATACACTAATATATATTTTTTTTATAAAAGGTATGAAATTTTCAATTACTTTTTCTCATTAATTTTAGATTTTAATAAAAAATTATCAAGCACCCATGTAATACACGGGCGTTGTACTAGTATAACAACTAATACAAAAATCAATAAATTTAAGGGTTAATTGCATAAAAAATCCCAACCTTTTGTTTAATTGCAAATAAAACTCAACTTTTTCAATTTTAAAAAAAAAAATATCAAACTTTTATTAAGTGTTGCAATTTTGTCTCGACCACCGCCAACTGCCACCCACAGCCGGCCAACTTCGCCGGATATTGAAATTTTTTACATGATTTTATAACTCTATTCCGTGCCAACAACATATCTGAGTTTTACGAGAAAATTCCGCCGATAAGGCTTCCAATTCGGTCAAAGGTCGTAGAAAATTTGTAGATCTACGACCTTTGACCGGAAAATTGGAAGCCTTATCGTCGGAATTTTTTTGTGAAACTCGGATATGTTGTCGGCACGGAGGAGAGATACAAGATCATGTAAAAATTTTCAATATCCGGCAAAGTTGGCCGGCGGCGGGAGGCGGTTGGCGGCGGCGGTTGGCGGAGGTCCGGCAGGTGAGACAAAATTGCAACACTTAATAAAAGTTTGATATTTTTTTGCCAAATTGAAAAAGTTGAGTTTTATTTACAATTATATAAAAAGTTGAAGTTTTTTATGCAATTAACCCTAAATTTAATCCTAAATAGTGATATAGCACCCGTTCGGTTACAAGAAGTTTCAGTTCGGTATCAGTGTTTGACATCATC